CAATCTCGTGCAGGTCCATTCGTTACTGCTAGGACATCAAGTATCTTTAAGCGTTTCAAAATTATCGAATTCTTGAAGTTCTACAGCTTTTACAATGAATTTCGGTCGGTTCCCTAACAATGAAGAAAATCTTAATGATCCCATGTACTCATTAGGTGAACGCACTTTACCTGATAGTTTGTAAAGCTCAAAATTAATGAAAAAATCGTTTCACTCGTAATTATTCCTCATGTATTTTTGTTGTAAATAGAATCATTGTACCTTTAAATTTGTTTTCGTAGTTCTTTTAGAGTCATTGAACCTTGAATTTGAAATTAAACACTACATTTCTGGCAACGCACATGGTTTGATCATGCCTTCAGTCAACTTGAGACACGTGCATCATGTCACGCTTCGATTCCTTCATATCAATTATCGAGATTTCCGAGAAAAAATTCTAGTTTTTAGATGACTGCACCTGGCCACGTAATGGTCCCATGTTCTCCCGCGGCCATTCCGATTGAGATATTCATTCCTTAGTAAACAGATCTGTCTCACTGATCAATCACCTCACTATTGGTTTGGTTTTGCTGTTTTATGGACTTGGGATGACTCAAGGGCTAGAACCAGTCCGCTCAGATGGCGTGTCCTCTGTTCCGAATGGACTAAAAACTGGACGGAAAACTCTATTGTTGCCTCGTTTTGGGTTAAGTACACCGGATTGCGATTGTTATTGTGATCAATGACCAGCAGATGTCCTCACAAACAGCCATGGGTCTCCGACTTACAAAATCAATTGCTTGGAAGTCAGCCATACAGCTTTTCAGTTGAATGATGACACGAAATTTCGTTTGGTATATCATGATACGAATTTTTATCTTGAACATGGGATAGCTTTCCGCTACAAATATCTTTTTTTCATTGCTGTATGAGATCAAGAGTAATGTTTTGCATTTTGAACTACCAGGCCTCGGCACAGGTGGCTTACAAGCAAGCTGGATATCGTTTGTGAGACAAAAAGTAAAGGGGGTTTCGTTTTTGTGGCCGAAAAGTCACAAAATTTGCGACGTTTTTGTAGTCGACGTTTCGTTTTTTGGAGTTTTTTAGGGGTCGGGGTCAAAGGGAACTTCGTAAAAATCCGCAAAAGTCAAGAGGGACTTCGTTTTTTTTTGCATTTTCGTCTAGCCACCTCGTGCCGAGCCTTGTGAACTACTCATGAATTTTCGCACGATTTTTGCTCTTGGAAAGCAGCTTCTACGGAAGCAAGAAAGTACTCACTCCATAGAACCTCAGGAGATGGTTCTTACTCTCTAAATTTTTTAAAAGAGATTGGGGTGAATTACCTTCGCAAATACCGTTTCTTTTCTCTCCTTTGTCATATAATTCGAATATTCAATATTAGATATTCATTTTGTTTCTGAGTGGATCTAAATGATGCTAGGATGTAACAAGAGATGCTTATCCATCTATCAACTTGCACCTGTAAATAGTGCACCTGCACCAATTTTCTTTTCCACTTAGTCAGTTTTACATAAGCTTTGAATCCTGCCTGATTAGTGGATAATCTGTCCTGGAGCCAGATATGTTATAATATGGAGGGCAAGTAAATCTCACATTAAAGTTTGTCTCCAACTATATCTAAGGGGTAACAATGAAATACAAGAAGAAACTTCTGACCTAAAACAACAAATGGTCAAAGAAAATCTACTGTAGACTATTTTCTTTTCTTTCATTAATCTAGAACTGTACTTTCCTTTAGTAACCAAATTTACCCAGACAGATCGATTATCCATGCAACAATTTTTGACAGCACTCATCTATTTCTGTATGAACCCTATGAACTAGATGGTCAGTGGTCATATATATTGTCTTGATTTATTATCTCATAAAACCTAAGTTACTTCATCAGGCGGTTCGGGTGCGACGTGCAGGAAAAAGACTCCTGATCTTGAGTTGGTGAAAGGGATCGGCTTGGCTCAAAATGCCTCTTCGAATAAACATCCTTCCCTAATATGTCTATTGCAAGAACTAGCATAATTGAGCTGTTTATGTCACAAATGGTTAACTAAGCTATTTACGCCTGCTGAGTATAGCAGCATCCGTAGTTCATGTTACGATAAAAATATACTGTTCACTCCGAAACTTGGACCATTATGTGAATAAACGCTACCAAATTCATCCCATCAACCTATTAATTTGCACACCCCACTCCCATTAGGATATTAAAAAAAATAGTTCTTCTATAATTTCAAGTATACTCATCAATGTTCTGATAATCTAAATAAATTTACACAAAAGCTGGTAGTAACGACAAATCGTAGGGGGAAGTCTCGTATGCGAAAAAATTCATGTGTAGCGTGTTGGAATCAATCATTCTTTTGAAAATTATTCGTGCAGGCTTTGAAACATTTGACTTCTTTAGCGCTCAATTCATATCAATGTATCTTTGCTGCAATACTATTTCAAAAAATAAAATCGATAAATAATTGAAAAATACTATGTGTATGGACATCAAAAGAACCAACATACGTACGAAACTAGAAATTTTATCCACAGGAGTCTCCGCTCCAATCATTGCATTTTGTTCCTTCTGATACAGAATTACAATTTTTTTTACTAAACGCTCTGACACTCCTCAGAAATTTTTTTAGCATTTAAACTTTTATTATAATTTATTAAATATTAAAATTGTTCGAAGAACCTGATGTCTAAACTGTCGGAGTCAACTAAACTGTCGTGCAAATAATAAATCTGGAAAACTGGTTAGATCTGAACTTTCTGTTAGAAGTTAAATATAATATACATGACGTTTTCAGGAAAAAATTTCTAAAGATTATTCGAAAAAATTGTTAAAAAAACAAAATATCAAATTATTAGACATTTTTTGAAAACTATTAAAAAAAGTGCTTGTAAATAAATTCAAACGCAGCATATTGAATAAAAATAAGCACAAAATATCGGGTTTTAAATAGTACGTAAACTACAATTTTTCCCACTTAACACTCTTGTCGAATTCTTCCCATTGGCAATCCGTCAAGTAATTTTCACGTCAACCCGACATTTCATTTTTGATTTCTAAACTTTCGTTTTCGCGCTAAAGCGCTATTGTTGCGTTTTTCATATCATGTTAGTAGTACACTACTCAATGTTTTTTCATATCCGACAATGTGAACATCATTGTGGGCCCGTCTCACGTCACTTGATGATTCAATAGAGCAAACACCTCAAAAATCAACTGCTGTAAACCTGCTTTGCAGTTGTTTCCCTACTTACACGTTATCATTATGGCCTAGGTGATGTATCGGCAATAATGACCAAAGCGCAGCATCGACTTTCACCTCTCTTTGGGCACGTTAAGCCAAGAATAAGGAAAATTATCCTCACTTAGAAAGTGAATATACAAATAATTAAGAATGGTAGGAGAGTGTCTGACGAAAGTTGTGTGAAATTTCCTTTTCAGGAATTCCAGGATGTTCCCTTCCAGATCGATATACCCATAATTATCAGGCAACAAAACTTGGTACCAAGGCTTTCAAAAAAAAAACATGATTCATATTTCTTACTTCTATTTTAGACGTCTCTCATTCTCTGAGGAATGGCTTTTGTAACAAATTACGAGAGTTAGCCTCTAAATCATGTTGTAAATGATTGTGCGGCTGGTGTTAGATCACCTGCTTGTTGCTGGTAAGGAACATGATTGTCAGTTACTATGGTAACTAGTAATGGAAGTTGTGCAGAATTTCTGGAAAATGAGTGGTTTTGCTGAATAGTCACCCATAAATAACATGAGGCCAAAAAATTGATACCGAGGCCTTTCAATATAGATCAAACCATGAGCATCTCGTAACCTAAATTTGGACAGTTTTTATTATCTGGGGGAATGATTTTTGTAACAAGTAACGATCGTTTTTTTTCGAACTTCGCATAAATTTGCGCAAATAGGGCCATCCCTTTTGAATTACCTGCTTGTTTCCGCTGGGAAACATGACTGGCACATACTAGTACTTATATTTCATCAGGTAGACGAAAAACAAATAAAATCTGCACTATTGCGAATGCGATCAGATTCATCGACGTGCAATTTTTCGTCTACTGAAACTCAGTCTTATTGTTAGTACAGTGGCACCTTATAGTCATGCTCTTTAGCGCAAAACAGAGCGCTCAAATAACGTGATGGTATTGATTATGTTATGCACTACACCGACAAAAATATCTATAGCTTTTTACGAATATTTCGTAAAAGGATTAAGGATTTCGCAGGTAGATAGCACAGACTCGGACTGCTCCCAGAATACCGTGTCGAAATACAGATTCAGTATGCTTTTTATTGTCTGACAGACAAAGAAGAACGATTTTGCTTTGGATCCCTAAGACGCATCTATTATAAAAATATTTAATTGTGCCTTGGCCATCGATGTTCCTTGCTAGAATTCTTGCATGGATCACCAGCGAGAAAGTCTAGGGAACTGGAACGGATTCAGCAATCAACGTTCATTCAACCAAAATAGAAAATATGCACTCGGAAGATTCAAAGATTATCCCATTGACATTTGTTTACTACTCAGAGTGTTGTTGACTGAAAGAGTTTCCGAGAATGCTGAATGTTCGTACATCCTAGCTTGCAGAAGAGTTTTTCATACGAGACTTTATATCTTTGAATTTTTCATAAGCAATAGGATACCATTTTTTTGCGTTCAACTTGTTTGATTTTATATTTTTTGTTCCCAAGCTGGTTTTCTGGGTACAATACATTGCTTTTTGCCTGTCTAATTATAACTCCGTAACTTATTTTCATCAAAGTTTGCCGTAGATCTTGATTCAACGTCATTGTTTTGCACGAGATCCTTGTTTTTCAAACATAGTACGCTAGCGATCATCGTTCACGGGCGGGATCAAATACCACCATCAGCACCGCCTCCGAACGAATTTGCTTCTACTTCAGTGTGTAAAACATTGCTTTACTGTCCGCACGTCTAAAAAACTTCTAATTTTCAACTTACTTATCAAGCAGCAAAGCTATAATGATTTCTATCGCAAGGAAGAATTATTTGCAGAAGCTGATGAAGCTTATGGGAAAAAGTGAGTTGCTTCTGATACTATAAATAGGAATTATGTGTATTTTTCTTAACAAATCTATATTTATCCAAACTAAAAAATTTCACATCCTGCAGTTCTGTAAGACTCTTTCTGTAAGTGAGTGCCAAAAGTCTTTTCCCCTGTTATACGCGTAAGGTCAATTTTTTTACTGTCATCTAGTAACAAAAAATTCTTTCTAAAAATTGTCCTTAGAAGGACAAAAAATTTTTTTAGAGCCAATGATAAACTTGCCATTAATAGTAACCGCATAAAAATGAGTAAACATTGTCTTGTTGAACTCGCAATCAATTTAAAAAAACCCATAATTAATTTATAAAAACCTTCGCCAATGTGATCATCCCCGCTGTACCTTTGGTTTTGAAAATACCATTTCTTTAATATTTTATCACAAAATGAACAAAAGAACTGCTTCTGATCTCTATTTCATTTTTTTCCATTCAGATCAGCATCATTCCTCCCCAGCTGAAATCTACGAACAGAGAAGAAATCAGAGACAACGGTAAGTTTTTGAACATTTTCTTTCAGAATTGCATTATTATGTCGTTACTTTGATTTTCTCAAATTTTCATGATTGCAGATCTTCAACTTCCTCGAATTCAAGCATTGAACCTATGCCAACCATAGAAGAAGTGGAAGAGGACGAGTTAGCATTTAACGCTTGCAGCGGCATGGATGCTCACCAGCTTGATGCTACGGAAGAGCTAGCTTCAATTCTGCAATAAATTGTCTGTTGATAAAAACCATATACGGTAAGTCGCTGAATTCTTTCAATATTTTTGGGTCATTTTGGTTTAGTAACATCCATTAGAACACTTATTATCACTTTCTGTAGGAGAAGTGTCCTTGAAATGTTCAATATTGCTCAATATTTTGTAAATCCTTTTTAATGGCGCCAATTCAATTTTTTTCCAGGGTTGACTTGCCGATACAGAATCGGTGCAATGGCAGTTTGCAAGCGGAGTACTGGCTCTGTGACTGAAGACGCAATACGAAAATTTCGAATGCACAAAAAACAGTCAAAGCACTTCACAGAAAACTGCCTTCCATGTAAAAATCTCAATTGTTTATTGTTGATTTTGGATGTATATATGTACATAAACTATTTTCACTTCGTTTCTTGTCTGTATAACGAAAATTGTAGCCAGAACAGGGCCCAACATGAGGTGACATTTATGAATTTTGAAAATGATGATCCCGCTGATATTGCAGAAAATTACATTTTGGACGTATATTTGGGCTTCATAGAATTACCTTGATGATCTGTAGCGAACTAAGAATAAATGGAGGTGAAGGAAAGGCGAGGAAAGTCGGAGTTGAAATGTCAAAATGCGAAAAACTACGGTTTATAGTCACTAAGGGCCAGTAAAAGGGGACGAAAGTTGGGTTGGAGTGAGTACTGTTGGGTGGAGCTTGTACTAAAAAATATAAAAAAATTTTTTTTTGAAGAATTAGGTGAGGTAGTGAATAATCATAACTTTGTGGTCACGCGGAATCTCCGAGTGCTCTCAGCTTGCGAGGGAGCAACCTAAAATAGGAATCATTTGAACTCCATTCATTAATTCATACTTTTCTTTTGCCCATCGCGATTGAGTTTGATTGCTCAGTATTGTAGACAAAGCCTTTGTTTATGTTTTTGTGCATGAAGATTGTGTTTGACACGGCGAATTCGTGTGCACACGGTTTTGTGCTCTAATTGTTTTTGTGAGTGTCGATTTACCCGTGTACTAGCAAAACGATGCTAGGGCTTCAAATTCGAGCTTATTAAAAGCAGTGGTTCACCAAAATCCAACTCTCAAGAAATTTGCGTTCCATGAAACTCTGGGCAGGTATAGATCCGATTAATTCAAAAAACTCTCGTTCTTCAGAGATCCCTCATCGTGGACGAGATGTGTCCCCTACATCAGCTTTCGCAGGTTCAGGCAAACCAGGAAAGAGGAGGACGCTTGATAAGGCATGTTAAGACGTGGAACCGGCAATTCGTCCAGGCGCGCGCAAAATCGCTTCGCGCAACACTTCGGGCACGGGTTTCTAACCGTAGGAAGACTTATTGAATGGGACTCGGGCAATGGCCTAACAATTAGGTTCTCTAACTAAATCTCAAAAAGTTATTCTAGCTCAATTTTGCCGAGCCACTGCTTTGAGAGTCAGAGTTTTGCTACTTTGTCAAATTTCCAGGAATGGGCGAGTGCGTATGCTTCTCACTTTTATCTCCAAAAACAATATGCAATGTTTGAAAGTGTTATTCCTGCTTAGCTCAGAATAATGTTTGTAATGTCGTATAACGTCTTCGCTAATCGCTGACGGATCGAATCACTGCATTAAGAAAAATGCGCCCTCGTACGCGCAATCAAGCGGGAGTGTTTCAAATCACAGAATTAGATTGAAGGGAGAAGAAAAAGAAGTTGTCTCTTTGCTACAAATTTCTGAGGATCTGTAATAGTTAAGGTCTTGAAGGTTATCTGCTGCAGCTTTTGTTACCTTTTGCAAAAAATTATCAGCACATCCGCAGCCTTTCTGGTGGTTTATCTTGACGGAAATTTCTCTGTATCAGTTGGACGAGAGTTTGTTTTTTCTCTCAAGTCCGTCAACGCAAGTGAACTTTTACTTTTTTTGTGGGTAGTATTCATAGAAGGCCCGACAGGGTCAAGATATTTTTTTAATGTAGTAACTAACTGCTTCGTTTACAGCGCACATGCAACCAAACGACTTCAAACTTGTTATATGAACGAACAACGGCTGGGAGAAGCATGTGCGAAGGATGTGGAAAAATTATGTAACTGAATGTTGTGACAAGCTTTTTTAACCTTTCTTTGGTGAAAGAAAAAAAACTCGTTTGCAAAGCACGGGTAAGGAGTTGACTCTAAACTTGCTGTGTAAATGAGTAGCGAGAAAGAAGAGCAATGTTTGAAGATTTATGAAAAACTTTTGGGCTGGTTATCATTTTTTTTTTCATTTTCCAAATTAATCAAGTTTTCAGACCAATTGTTTTGCCACTCTCAGGGTGACGATAAGGTAGCTCGCTCTATTCTAACGCCACATTGAGGATGGAAAAGAATTTGATTCACTAATTACATCATAAATTTTGAATAAGTTTGTACTCAAACTATTACACATTAACTATTTGGTTCCAAACTCCTGCTCTCTTCGTGGGGATCCAAAAAGCTACGACTCGGCTCCTCTTGGGAAAAAATCCTCGCTCCAATTGAGTGAAAAACGCTGCTGGCGACCAAAAGGGAGGTCGCAAAAATTGAAAATGGCCTAGGTAGATTTGTTTCACAGGTGTCCATTTGCCAAAGACGAAGTGCAAACATCTAAACTCTTTGAGAGAAGCCTACGCAAAATCAAACTGCACAAGTTTCACTAAATTTCACCTTTCACTCAGTCCAATAAATAAGTGTTTGAAACTTCCAATGGAGTGAAATTCACTAAGTAGTGGAAGAAAACGAACGAGCACTATTCATGTTTGTCTTCTGTGGAAGCAGAAAATTTAAATAATTTGAGCTCGAAAACGGGATATGAAAAATCAGAACTCTACAAAATTAACAAAAGGTTTTGTTAAATGCATCTACAACTATAAGATCAGAGAGACACGCTAACTGTAAAAGGAAAACTCAGAAAAAATTTCACATTGTCTAAAAAGAACCAGAAGCGTGCAGCGAAAGTAAAGCTACTAAGGTGCAAATGTTCGTCACTACCGTTGTCCTGCATGGCTGACACCTAAAATAGAAAGATTATGGAACAACATAATTAAACTGGGGTGATAAGCAAAAAATTTGCCAAAAGAGGCTGAGACGAGGCGCACTGAAGGCAGCGCCGAGCGTGCGCTGCTGTTGCTTCGCGAAGGTACCTGTGGGAAGCTGATTATTAAAGATCTTGGTCAATAATTCTCTTATCTCGCCATAAATCCGTGAGAAAATCTAAAAACTCTGAAAAGAAATTTGATAATCGATCGTTCATCAAATCATCAAAAACAACTCTACAATAAACGTTTTTAGAAATGAAAGGAGGAAAAAGAGGGAGGTGAATCTATCAACATTAGTTTATTGATCAAGACTTTGCACTTGGAAAGGTAACAAACGGTGCTGAATTATTTGAACTCAGCACCTTTCTTTACTTTTCCAGCTAATCCCGTAATTTCATACATTAGGCTGTAGAGGAAGTTTCCGAGCTTTTGCGTTTTTTTTTTCCAAATTGCTGTAACTCAAGCAGATTGCTCTTTTTGAGAGCTGCAAACTTTTTTGCAGAGACACTGTGTCTACACGAGAAACTTACTTTATTGGGTCCTCAGCTCTTCATTTCGGGTCAGCAGCTTGCGCAGTAGGGAAAAGTGTCGACTTAAATTTCGACCTGTTAGTCCAGGAATTTTTCAGGCACAAAGAAAGCTTGAAGGCCCTTATCCAGTATTTACGTAGGAATCTGCTAGGTTAGTCATACATTATGCCACATCTTTAAAGGCGCCGCCTGAACATTCTTCTTCAAAAATTGGAAAAAGCGGCCATCGCACCTGAAAATGCCCTACTTTTCGAGTAAGTGAGTTGAAGTCCTCCTTTTTTTTTAGCAGGAAACGAATCAAATCTTTGACAGTCTTTACATATTAAGTCGTTTCGAAAGTTCTTTCCGTTTTTTTAACCTATTATAAGAATCATGGAATAAAGATAGGCAAACGTTTCAAACATTATCCGACGCAGCCTTTTGTGATGCTAAGAGCCATGAAATATAAAATGCGCACAACTAAGGTGTCATTCGATGCAGCTTTTCTCCTCTTTCTGATGAGGGTTTCTTTCACTTTGTGAAGTTTTTGCCGATAAATTTCTATAATTCTTGATTTTGCAGCCGCCTGAAGGTATACGTGAAATGCGAAATCTTACATTTCGAAGCGGTAAACAACGGCAACGATTTTTTCCTTCGCTAGTTTATTTTCAGGATTTCATTTCTCAGATTTTTATGGAAGGGGCGGGGCGTCAAATGGTTTTTCATTCATTTTATCATTTTTTTCTTATTTGTTTATTTCCGTAAATAGGTTTTTGTTTCAGGTCAATGTTTATCGGATCAATTTCGGCTCCTTCATTATGGCCTATCCTTTCAACAGCGCTTCCTTCGACTGTATCGCCGCATGGGCGACAGAGCAGAATATCTAACATGTTGCTTGAGTATATCTAAGACTGGTCTGTTAGGTGTGGATACCTAACGTGAACCATGCTGGCATTGGACGGTAGCATCCCCCAATGCTAAGCATTTGTATTAATGCATAAAGCATGAAATATTCTTCGTAATTCAAGCGGATCTCATTTGCGGTCTTAATGACTGCACCCTTGTACTTAGTTTGGAATGTGGAAGTGTGAGAGGGACATTTCTTTCATTACTGAGTATATGTCGAGTTGTTTTTGGCGCACCACGAGTGCATACATAAATAAATAAAAAAATAAAGTAATATCTTGCACATCTTTTGACTCAAAATTCTGGCGGACGATCCTCACAAAATCGAAGCCAAGCGCGAAAACATGTACGGCCAGAAATAAGTTTAAGAGCTTGTAATTTTTGTGCGCATACCGTGACATCCGAGCGCAGCTGCACTTCTAAAGTGGACAGTTACCTCATTCCGAGTGACTAACCCCCAAATGGTTGTCTTTGTTTACTGCAAAAAAAATGTTAGCAGAAAGAAAAATTGTAAACGTTGCACAAAGCCTTGCAGTAAGCTTCCCTTTGCTGTGCTGGCCAAATCAGCTTGACATCGATAGGAGTTGATGCGGTTCTGAAAAGCTTGGGCTTTCTTCTAGAGAATCTATAAAATACTGGCCGTTCAGTTTTAACCGAGTGCAAAAAAATGATGATGAGATGACATTTCCGAAATTTCCCAGGTTTCTTTACAATCTAATAAAATGGACTCATTAAGCAAAAAAGCAGTATTCTCTTTTCTTTTTAGCTTTTCTAATGTTTACTTTGTTATACTGATGATTATGATTTACAATGTTGTTTTCTTGTGCGATACCGTCCCGTCCCTGTCTACTTGTTGCTGCTGTGCTCATTTTCATTATTGCTGAGGGCCCTGACCTAACGACATTGTTTTTGCACGAGGTCTTTGTTTTTCAACAAAGTGCACTAGCGACCATCGCTCATCAACGGAAGGGATCGGAAACTGCTATCAGCACGCCTTCGAATGATTTTGCACTTCAGTGTGTACATTTGCCTTACGGTCAGTAGGTTCAAAATACTCCTTCCGCCCATGATTTACCTATCAAACAAATCAAAGCTGTTATGGTCATTGCGAGGAAGAACTATTTGCAGAAGTAATGAAGGTTATGGGAAAAGTTACCTTCGCTTTATTTGAATGAATAATTTAAAAAAACTGAATGTTGAGACTTGTAAGTAAAAAAACTCACGAAAATTATTCGAGTGAATTTTGCATAATTTTTTGAAAAGAACACTATTACTGTTAATCACTGGTGTACAATAAGCACTAAACCTATGCACTTAGAATGATTCGTTCAGTTACGGTAAACCAAAAATGAAAAAAAGCAAAAAATCAAAAATGTTGATGAGCAAGTTTTTTTGTTTCAACGTCTACTGAATTTAGGGCTCTATGAAGAAGGCTAAACACTACGGAATATGATTAAAAGTGCACCAGCACTCCAATATGTTTTGTAGCATAAAACAAAAACTTGAAAGTCTTGATTATTATAAAGCAATGGCGGACCGAGGGAGGGGGCGGGGGGGGAGGGCGCCCCCCCCCCCCCCCGAGAATGGGTCGCGAAATTTTTGAAACTTACCTATATGGGTTGTAAGAATGTGCAAACGACTTGTTTGCACTTGAAAGTAATTGAAATAATTTTTAAAATTTTTCAAAAATTCATTTTAGCCTTATGAAAACCACCACGCCTTCTTTTTTCAGACTTTAGGGGTCGGGGACCCGCAAAAATTTTAAGAAGCACCCCAAAAATTTTTTCGGAGAGCGTGGCTAACGCCACGCACCTTCTTTCGAAAAATTTTTTTGTCGCCCCCCCCCCCCCCGAAAAAAATTTCTCGGACCGCCACTGTTATAAAGGTATACAATTCGGGACAAAATCATTTATAGGGCCTATCAAACGCAGTGTCGCTTGCATCAGCATCTCCACTCCTGTGCTGAACACTGCATCTCTTCCGCGAAATGCTCTTTGATTACTTTCCCAGGGCGAGCGTGGGAAAGGCGGAGCCTCATTTGGAAGTGATTGGAGAGCATGTTCGCGGAAGAGACGCAGAGTACAGCGCTGGAGTGGAGATGCTTATGCAAGCGACACTGCGTTTGATAAGCCCTGTATATACAAACGCTAATAAGTGATTTTGCATATTATAACCACAGATTCAATTAGTTCAGAATATCGTTTCACAAATTAAGGAGGGCGGGGGGGGGGGGGTTGATTTTCGTTCATAAGACACATCTACTACAGCACATCTTCGTAAAAGGATTTGGCTACCAAGCATTTTTGTCTTGTGAGCAGCTTCAAAACAAATTCTATAGTCGTTCATTTAACCATAAAAGGAATCCCGTTGAAATATTTTGTAAAAAGTGCACTGGAAAGACGTGGACTCGAATTATATCATCAATATCAATTTGCTATTAGATTGCAGTAGATTGAAAGAGCGGTGACCGTCGATAAATGATTTAATGCTTCTACCTTGACGAAAATTTGGTATTTCGCTGTTTTTTGTCTGTCTGGTTTTTACTTCGGTACTTATTTATCAAAGTTTGTTGAATGTATACGAGACAATGTTTTTGCATTGGATCCTTGTTTTTCAGCGTAACACACCAGCGATCATCGTTCACTGGATCAAATACCACTGTCAGCACCACCTCCGAACGCTTTACTTTCACTTTATTGTGTACAATATTGCTTCAGTGTCTACACACTTAGAACCCCCTCGGACTTCTTGACTACCTACCGAACATATTTAAGCTACTATGATCTCTGTTGCAAGGAGGAACTATTTGCAAAAGCTAATGCATGCGGGTAAACGTGAGTTACCATTACCTGGATAATTAGAAGTAGAGTTGCAAATGTGTAATTCCTATTTATGATTACTAAAAATTCTTCATCCAGAATTTGAAGAATCATACCCTATAATAAAGCGCAGGGGGGACCATCGCACGTCAACAACCAGCAAGGATGTTTGCCCAGTTCTTTGTCTTAACTTTTGCACTTCCGCTCGCTTCCATACTGTTTACCGTTAGATTCGACCCAGTCGCGTAAGTGCAACCTAATGACGTCATCGTATTTTACGCTAACTTGGCTTTCTCGATAATGTTTACTATGAAATCAAGCTATTTGAACACAACACCATAAAACTCCTCCTCACTCGACTCCTCAGTTCACATCAAGCGTAATTGTAAGGTCTGATGCTTTTCGAAAGTCTTTAATTTTATTCATTTGACGTCTCAAGACTGCGTGAACTTTCCAAATTGTTAACCACCAAGTGATAAGAAACATGGTGATGCGAATTGTCTTGAAACTACGCTGGATGCAAAAAGCACACTTGGCAACTAAATCGTAGGTTTAGAAGACTGCATCTTAGAATTTCTGATTTTTAACAAAAGACCGAAAATTTCAGAAATACTATGAAAAACGTCATTGCGATCGTAATAAAATTTTAGAGCTACATGCTGTCTGTTTGCTGTCAGTGTGAAAAAGATGAAAAGAAGGGGCTTCACTAACCATCAACTCAACCCTTGCTAACCTCAGGAACATGTAGTTTTTGGCGCAATTTTGTCGAAACATTGCACAGCCCCAGAATCGTATAAACACTGAAGATTTGCTTGGATGAATAGTTGAATCTGGAGTTGAACTTTAATAATAGCTCTCTTTATAGAATTCAAGTCAGTAGCCTATCAAGATGAGTTGGAAATTGGGGTCTGTGGAGCTGGGTGGAAAAGCATATATGTTGAATAATTTGGATAGCCCATATAGAACGCTAACGGGATTTGACATTAAGATTCTTGAATTGGAATTAATTTGTGCACGCTTCCAACAGAGCATATTTTATGAAGAGGAAGGGATGCTGTTTGATTTGTAAAATTCTATATTATAAGTTGGAAGGTTGGTTAGAGTCGCACCGATGTTGAACAGTGTTCCCGGGCCCTTTCATGACCGGAAACGTCGCTTATCTCGCCCCAGGTTTTCATACGAGCCCAAGAGATTTAATGGAGAGTGAGGTGTTGTGAAGTGCTTGGGGCAGTTCACAGGACAGTCGATGAGGAGGGGAGGACCCCATAGTTGGGAAAAGGTTGCCGAGCCTAACATAACCACCATTAGCAAACCGCAGACATGACGCGGAATCTTGAGGGCGCAGCGCATCATGTCAATTTTGGCCTGATTCGGGGGACAGACTGTAAGGGTGTAAGTTCGCATTTTCTCAACAGCATCTCTGAGGCAAAACTTGAAACGACTAAGTAGGATCTGAAGGATGTGAAAGTGCGAGAAAAGAATGGTAGTTTGGAAAGTTTCATAAGGGAAGCTTTTGGGTGAAGAGGAATTGAGGGAAAGTGGGATGCATTTTGGCTCGAAGAACTCAGGGAGGGCAGCAAAGCACAAGTTTGCAAAGTACAAGAGCATACATACCTGGGAAGCTGGGTGAAAACGGTAAAAAATTTATTGGCACTTTTGTTAGTACTTATGAAACCACGTAAAGCAGGAAACTTCTGACACTTATTTTGTTAATCTCTGGGTTCGTTGAATGTCTGCGCAAGAAAAGGTCTCCAGTTCTAACTTTGAGGTCACATCCCACTTCACACACACACAGCCAGTCCGAAGCGCCGCGAAGCGGCGCTTTGGACTGGTATCTATATATTCTGCAACTCTGCGATTTGTAAATGACTTATTTTTTGTAGGTCAGTAGCAAATTTTGCGAGTTTCTAAACAATTTCTGTGCTTAAGGATGAACATCTTTTGCTGTCATCTAGTAGACGAATAATGACTCCTTCAGGTTATGGAGTAAAACTGGTAAACTTGCCATCAATTTTAATTCATAAGAGTGTAAGCACAGACATTGGGCAATGTTCGCTTGTTTGAACATCTTCCCTCCTCAGTTTAATGGCAGAATAAGCTGAGAATAACATTCCGCAGATCTTGGTCTTATACTTTCGCATTCAGATCATAATCGTTCTTCGCCAGCTGAAATACACAAGCAGAGAAGAAATCAGAGGCAAAGGTTTGTGTTGTCTATGAATGATGTTTTCATTTCATTACATACTTTTACATTCGCAGATCTTCAAGGTTTTCGAACTTGAGCATCAAGCCTATGCCAACCATAGAAGAAGAGGAAGAGGACATGTTAACGTTCAATGCGTGCAGCGGCATGGATGCTCAGCAGCTTGATGCTATAGAAGAGCTAGCTTCAGTTCCACAATAAAATGTCTGCCTCTGGATTGTTCTCTACAAATACGGTATGTCACTTAGAATAATTGATTCTCGTTTAAGTCATTTATGTACTGGTGTTATTCATAGGAAAAATATTTTTGTCTTTGGGAGTACCAATATATTCGAAAGCTTCACTGTGGTTTTGAATACAATAATGCCAACTGTGTCTTCTTGCAGGGTGACTTGCCAGTCAACTTCTCCTGATTCCCAAGGCAATCAACGAAGTCGGCGCTTTGACAGTTTGCAAATGAAGTACAAGTGCAGTGAGTGAAGACGCAACACGAATTCGGAATGCACTATCAAAAAACTATCAAGACTCCAAATCAAGCAGTAAATTGCCGTCCTTGTAAAGTTTCTCAATTGTTAATTGTTGACTTTGGATGCATATATGTCGATAAACTAATTTATCTTCAAATCTCTTGAAAGCTTTACCAATGATTTGGTACCCCAGAGTAGCGTAATAACAGCATTTATAACTTGTTATTGACATAACACATTGTACAGTATGCAAAATCACCATAAATATTCACTACAGCCACGAAAGATCGCTGAGGTATAACTCAATTTTATGTCGCAGGGTTCTGACCGTAGCTTACGAAATAAACGCATTTTTTGATTTTCAAAGAAAACCTCTTCTTTGAATTGTAATTATAGGACACTAGCTGGCATACCCGGCTCCGCCGTATGTTCCGAATAGAAAATTCCATTTCTCAACCGATCCGAACCAAACTTGGCACACATACACTTCGGGCCCCGGCGGGTGTCACAGTCCACTTTTCGTTATCGATTGATGCCGATTTTATCGATTCTTTGCAAAATTTGAGCTGGGGGAGATCAGCATGCTCGATTACACCCCCTGCAAAATTCCAGCCCCCTAGCTCAAATTTTGCAAAAAAATCGATAAAATCGATAAAAGTAATGCACGATTTCAAAAACTAATATTGTATTCGGAATCCCCATGCTCACTTACCTCCCTGTGCCAACCCCCAGCCCCGTAGCTCAAATTTTGCAAAAAATCGATAAAATCGATATCGATCGATACGAAAAGTAGCCTATGACACCCGCCGGGGCCCGAAGTGTATGTGTGCCAAGTTTGGTCCGGATCGGTTCAGAAATGGAATTTTCTATTCGGAACATACGTACACACAGACAGACATACATACAAACAGACATTCAACTTTATATATAAGATACCAGTGAAGGGTCCCAGATTGCAGTAACGACCTGGAATGAGATGCATATACTGAATGCGTCTTGTTGAGCTAAATCCTAGTCTATGTACCTTCCATATCTGCTGCAGGATTCTCTAAAAAAAGTTATGAGCGTTTGAAAGTTCAAAGGTGGCATTCATTCATTGACATCCCTTCAAGGATTTGTTGTTCAGGAGCATTCATTTATGTTTCTGGTAAATGTGTGCATCCTAGTAGTCAGCGCATTCAATGCCTTGCCAATTACCCATCTGGGTTCATTGCACGTCATGCATTAAAATCCTCAGGACTTCATACGTTTAACCGCTAACTTCGTTCAGAGAATACCGCAGCAGATATAGAAGGTTTGGAAACAGCTCATCAAGAGGAATCTAACGATATGCAATTCATTCCAGCTCGGCGGTTTAGGAATCCTTCCCTTCAAGACTGGGGGCGAGAAGAGTAAAAAAAGGAATTTTTACCTGTATAATTCGCTCTGCTGTTGTTTTTTACCCTTCGATGCGAATCAGTTGTTGAGCTTTGAGGGGGGGGGGACTAGACTGATAGAATTTTTCAATCCATACCCATCTGCAACCAAGCAATTCTCACCCATTGCTCGCAGACTTTAATCACATCGCTGCTCAATTAATAGAATCAGAGAAGTGTAAGAGATGAGTTGAATAAATTATTGTTGGATATCCTAAATGGAAACAGTAGGCGAAACAATTTTGGAATCTTTCTGTATGTTACACTCTGCGACGTTGTGTTCTTTAGATGCAGCGGAGTATACCTTTCTAGCTAATATTTTATTAACAAAAATTTCACAGCAACCTTTGAGTAAGTTTCACTTGTAAAACAGAATTATCTCTTTCAATATGACTTTCGTTTCATGAGTCAACGCACCGGTAATCTTCACCGTATCCTGTCAGTAGCACGCTCTATTATATTCCATATACGTTACACATCAATGTGGGCGTCATTTATTTACTGAAGTGATAAAGCCATGTCATCTCAAAAATCAACTGCTGTAAACTTGCTTTGCAGTTGTTTCCCTATTCCTAACGCGTTATCATTCTGGCCTAGTTGGTTGTATCAGCAGTAATGATCAAAGCGCAGCCGCAACCTTTACCCTCTTCTTGGTTAGATTTAGCCATAAAAGAAAAATTTGCTCGACAAGAAGTTGACTAGATGAATGTAGACAAGGTAGAAGCAGAGATTCTGATGAATTTTGTGAAATTTCTGAAAATAAGGTCCTAGATTCACCCATAATTATCCTAAGGCAACAAAACTACTACTAGTTCTTTCCAACATATGATAAGATGGACAATAAATCGCATTTCGTGCCCTGATTTAAGCTGCTCCTATACATTTCGTGCCCTGATTTAAGCTGCTCTTATAATCTGTGGAATGACCTTTGTAAAAAGTTGCGAAAGTTGTACTCTAAATATCACATGAATTTGTGCAATCAGAGCCATAGTTGTTATATCAGCTGCTTGTGTCTGCTACGGAACATGACTGCCAGCTACTAGTACCTAGAGAACATTTGTATTCGATGGACGAAACAAAAAACCTACACTATTGCGAGATTGCAAGGATGTTTAAGCTTTTTCTTTTTTTCTACTCAAACTAGTCTGAGTACAATATGCCATACACTTATGCTCCTTAGTACATAACAGACTACCTAAATAACATCGGTGATTTGTTCCCCACGGTTATGCAGATTTCATTTTTATAACTCCTCGCAATCTAGTTTTGTTTTGCCGATAAGCATACATGTGGGATTTATCTGATATCCTTTTTGCTAATAAGATTCCACTTAGACAAGAACGCATTTATGAAAATACTAGCTGTACCTGGCTCCCCCCGGCCCCGTAAAAATATTACGATGAAAGTTCCATCCCTATGTCTGTCACAACCTTTCCCTGTGCCCACCTCTACATGCTAGATCCCTATTCCCGTTATGTTGGTAATCAGCATGATCACTCCTTCCCTCCTCTGTGCCGATTCCCAGCCCCGTAGCTCGAACTTTGCAAAAAAGCAATAAAATCGATAAAAGTAGTGGATAACTTTAAAGACGAATATTGTATATGTAATCAGCATGCTCAATTACCCCTGTGCCAACTCCCAGCCCCGTAGCCCAAACTTTGTGAAAAATCGATAAAATTGATAAAACTACTGAAAAATTCCAAAAACTAATACTGTATTCGTAATCAGCATGCTCGGTTACCCCCCTGTGCCAACTCCCAGCCCCGTAGCTCAAATTTTGCAAAAAATCGATAAAATCGATATCGATCGATACGAAAAGTAGCCTATGACACCCGCCGGGGCCCGAAGTGTATGTGTGCCAAGTTTGGTCCCGATCGGTTCAGAAATGGAATTTTCTATTCGGAACATACGTACATACAGACATACATACAGACATGCAGACATACAAAGAGACATTCAGCTTTATAAATAAGATTTTTTCGGGGCGTGGCTGACGCCACGCACCTTCAAAAGAAAAAATTTTTGTCGCCCTTCCCCCCTCCCCCCCCCCCCCCCCGCGAACGGAAATCCTGGGTACGCCACTGGTACACACAGACAGAATACATACAAGCAGACATTAAGCTTTAGAGGATATGTATGTTCTTTATGGATAGTCTTGGCCACCCAGTAACTTTTTCTTATTAGTCCTTAACTGCACCAATGGACTGTATGCAAGAAATTCCAAGGAAAGTTGAGGTCAACAGTCAATCATTTATGGGACTCGCCGAAAGTTCGAATAAAGATATTCGGAGGGATTTTGAGATCATGACAGTTTGAAGAGTAATAGAGTTCCAAATCCTTTGAATGTCCGCAGCTTGGCCCAAAATCTTTCTACAATATTGTCAGCGCCTTCGTATGAGTACCCAAAAAGCAAAAAAGTAGGTTTTCCGCCAAGATGTATGATTTCATATTTGCGTCTAAACTGTTTTTGGAATAGATTTTGCAGCTTTTTCCTGTTTTGTGTTATTTTACTACTCATTTTCATCAAAATTTGCTAGAAAACTTTATCCGACGTCATTGTTTTTGAGCGTGTTCCTTGTTTTCATAACATTACACCAGTGGCGTACCGAGGGGGAGGGGGCGGGGGGGGGCGCCCCCCCCCCCCCCGAGAATGGGTCGCGAAATTTTTGAAAGTTACTTATATGAATTATAAAAATGTGCAAGTGACTTGTTTATTTTTGTAAATAATTAAAATAATTTTTAAAAATTTTTAAAAATTCTAATTAGCCTTGTAAAAAATTTTTTTTCGGGGGCGTGACTGACGCCACGCCCCCTTTTTCCAGAATTTAGGGGTCGAGGACCCGCAAAAGTTCTTAGAAGCACCCCAAAAATTTTTTCGGAGTGCGTGGCTAAAGCCACGCACCTTCTTTAGAAAAAAATTTTTGTCGCCCTCTCCCGAGCCGAAATCCTGGGTACGCCACTGCATTACACCAATGACCATCGCTTTTTTGGCGCGGCCAGATACCGCCGCTGGCACCGCCTCCGAAATTTGCTATTTCAGTGCGTACAACATTGCTTTTTTGAGCCAAGGCGTGTATTCGACCAAAAAACCTACCGATCTTTTGATCAACTATCATACAAACCCTATTATGATCTCTTTGACGAGGAAGAATTATTTGCTTCAGCTGATGAAGCTGATGGGAAAAGGAAGTAAGTATTTTTAATATTTGATAGAATAGCAACATCTTATTCTAAGGATTCTGCGTTCTTTTGTACCCAGTTCTTCCATCAAGTTCCCATATCTCCCACATTTAACTTTCTTGTCTCCCGAAATTTAGAC